GGAGGCCAGGCTGGCCTTGACTACACAGTGATTCTCCTGCCTAAGTCTAATGAGAGCTGGGATTCATTTGTTAACTGTTTTTCTTTTCCTTTTTTGTCTTTCTGACACAGGGTCTCACTATGCAGTTCAGGCTGGCCTTGCGCTCACTTTGTAGCCGAGGCTGGTCTCTGACTTCCAATTCTCCTGCCTCAGCCTCCTGAGTGCTACAATTACAGATGTGCACCACTATGTCTGGCTCATTTGTTAACTATCTACTAAGCATGTGAAAACTGAGTATTACAGCTTCCTGGAGACTTCTCAAAGAGGTAGGAGGGAAAAAATAAGCCAGGAAAGGAGGGATGTGAATGTGTGGGATGTCGAAGGCAGGCACGAAAGACTTTTGCTCAAGAAGGCAAGGGTGCTGAGCAGAGGCAAAAGACGCTTCCACTGCCAGATGTGCCTCTGTTCCCCTTCAGCCCGCATCGCTCTCATCTAACTTCCTGCATTGTGGCATCTTGACAGAGCTGAATGGAAACTGTGTCTTTTTCTCTCTCAAAGCATCTTGTCACACTTGTACCTTACATTACATTCCAGGCAATAAAGAAAAAGCAAAGGGCAAAATGAGAAGCAGATAAAGGTCAGAGGCCTATTAGGTCTGCCCCTCAGTAATTATGGGATTCCCGCCATATCACTTCAGTTTCAAGTGAGGGTCCAGACCTGCCTCGCAGGTCGTGCTTTAGATACACTCACCGTACTCTAGGAAGGCCTGGCAGTGGGTGCAGTGGGAACAACAATAACACATGCCTTGTGTAGGGATTATGCGTTCCCAAGTGTGCAGGCTCGGCTCGGGCCAGGGACACTGAGAGAAGAGCTCCACCAGCGCCAGCTGCCACTACACTGAATCCCTAGCTGCGCATCTCAGCAAGTGAACATGAACACGATTGGCTGTTTAAGAGTTGTGACGAAAGGAAGCCAAACACTTGAAAGTGTGCTGGCTCCTGACCACAAGTGCTTTTCATCCAGGGCCTTCTTTGTGCCCGGCTTGGTGCCAAGTGTTCAACATGTAATATTTCTATTCATTTTCAATCTTGTGAAAAAGATACACCTCATTTTCCTAAGGAGGACCTCCATGTGGTTCAGAGAGCTGAAATGTTTTGTTCAAGGTCACATGAAAACTGGGATTTGAAATCAGACAAATAATGTAACTTGTGAAACTTCACAGGAAGGGTGTCAATAAGTACACAAACAATGTCCTCAACATCTACCAGGCTGTTGTATAGAGCTGTTTATTACAGAAACCCCCAAAACTGTTTACCAAAGCATAAAGCAATAAAATCAAAGGGCAGAGCCATCTGTTAAGGCGCTGGACCACAGCTTGCAGATGCTCTACCTTAGCCTACAGGTAGATTGGACTTTACAATGTAACTTAAAAAATGCTAAGCTTATTGTGTTTAAGAACCATGAAGGCAAGGATTTTCCACTTGGTCTGGTCATGTGTCTCATGTTCCTAAAACAGTACTGGCCACAAAGCAGCAGCTCAGTATCTGTTAATGAGATCAGATCAAGTATCAGATCAGAAATGAGCCATTGAGACAACTCTTCTACTGCCAGTGGGATGCAAGCTTGAAAGTAATTTGGCAAACTGTACCCAGCAATTCTTCTAAAGTTCTAAAAAAATTATAGCCAAAGAAGACATCAATGTTTGGAAAAGTAAAAATCTTATGGGGAAATACATTAAAATGGGTTCATAAAATAAGAGTAAAGACTGATGAAAATAAACTACATACCTGGGTTAACATGAATATCTAAAAAAATACAAAAAGCAAAATATATGGAATTTTGTTAATGTGAAAATTTAAATCATAAAGAAGCACTGTATTATATTGTTCAGGGACATCTACTAATATATTTGCAGGAAAAAACAGTGCTTTACCCACGGGGAGGGAACAAAGTTTTTTTTTTTTTTTTTTTGCGGAACAGGGGATTGAACTCAGGTCCTTGCGCTTGCCAGGGAAGTGCATATTCCACTGAGCCATCTCCCCAACCCCTGGAACAAAGTTTTAAGGCCAGAAGCAGACAAAGGGGATTTCAAAAGTATAGCTAATTTTCATCATACTTTAAAAAGACCCCAGAAGCCGGGCATAGTGGCACATGCCTGTAATCTCAGCACTCAGGAGGCTGAGGCAGGAGGACTGCTGGGAGTTTGAGACCAACCGGGGCTACACAGTGAATTCAAGACCACATTGATCTATGTAGCAAGACCTTGTTTCAAAAACAAAAAGAACTTCAAAATATGACAAAATGCTAACTATTCCCAACTGGGTTTTGACGATCAGGTGTTCATTATAATTAATAGTGTCTGATTTTCTGCAATTTTAACTTTTTCAAAAGCAAAGAGAATAAAAAGGTCAGCAAGTTTTTTCTTATATACTGAAATTAAAAAAAAAAAAAAAAAAAAAACCAAAAGGGGACTAGCATTTACAATGGGAACAGTTTAAAGCTTTTTACTCTCACAATCATTGTTAAGTGATGAAAGAACAAAGAAACATTAGTGAGTTTAAGGCTTGGGCCCTTACTTGGCTTTAAGTAACTACCCCATAGCTTTTGCACCAATCCAGCCCTTGTGACCCTGGCTCTTTGTCTTTCTGACCCCTCCCCTACACATCTCTTTTTCCCTTGCCTTCTTCCCTCAGGTCCTTGCCATAGAAGCTCTGAGCCCAGGGTCCTCTGCAGACCAGCTAGTAAGGGGATGTCCTGTCACCATTCTGAATCTTGACGATCCCTTTAAAGCTAAGAGAACCTCTGTTTGCCTGGACGAAGGCAGGGCTCCTCATCACAACCGAGTTCTTTCTCTTTTTTTTTTTTGGTACCAGTAATTGAACTCAGGACCTTGCGCTTGCCAAGGTAGGCGCTGCGCTTCTGAGCTATGTCTTTGGCCCTCAGCCGCCCTTTTTACTGTTTCTCTATTCCAGAATCTTCTCTGGCAGACCACAGACACTCCCACCCTCAGCGCTCACCTCTGCTCTCTGTCTTTGTTTCAGCTCTTGCTGGGCTGATTTCTGCTTAGCCTTCTCCACCCTGCTAACAGGTTCTTTAACTTTGGATTTTTCTTTACGTGCAGGTAGATCCATGGCTTGGCTTCTGGGTATGTCCTTAGCTCTGACCTGGATGGTACAGAAAGGCAACTCTTTTAGAAGGAGAGCGAGCCCAGGGGGGCGGGGCAGAGAGGAAGAAAGACAGGAATGAAAACAAAGGAGCTGCTAATCACGCCCCTTCTTGATTGCCTGCACCCGTGCCCCTTCCAGCGACAGAGGGGAAGGGTAGCCTGGTAGCAGGCGTGAACTCCGTGGCCTCGATCGCGCTGGAAGCCCGGGTGCAGGTCTCCTCCCACGCTAAGCCTCGATTTCCAGCCTGCAGAATGGGCCCACACTCCTTTCCTGGCCTCGCGGGAGGGTCCCGGGACCAGCGCTTCCTCCACGCCGCGGGCAGCGCCGGAGGAAGGGGAGAGGGAGGGTCTGGGCCGAGGGCAGCCGAGCCCGCGGGGTGGCGGGGAGGCCGAGGCCCCGCTCCGGCCTCGGGGACCCCAGCCCGCCGGACCCGCCCCGCGAGGCGTCGCAGCCCTCCCCGTCCTCTCCGCGGCAAGATGGCGGCGCGCGCGTAGCTCCGTCCCTACCGGGCCTCGGGCTTGTGGGCGCGCCGGCCCCACGCGGGGGACCTGGGCTCTCCGCTTCCACGCGACCCGGAGCGCCGAGCCCGCCACTCCCGCACTTGCGGGCCGCCGACGGGAAGGCGGGGATGTG